TTTTGATTCTCCTGTCTCAGCCTCCTGAGTAGCTGGAATTGTAGGCATGTGCCACCTATGCCAGCTGAAAAAAGGATCTTTAGGTGGATTACTAGAGTTTAAACTTCTTTTAGTTAAGGTCTAGCTATCTTTTCTCTTGTCTAAAATGTATGTGTTGTACTAGGCACTGCTGATACCTAAGTGAGTACAGTGTAGCTGGGGTCCATAACTTAAAGGGAATAATTAAATGTAGTGTTAGAAAAGCTATCATATTTAATTATAGCTGCTGTAGATGCATATAGGAAGAGAACAGACTTGGATCCAGATATTTGGGCTGAGCAACTGAAAAAAAATTATTACTTATTGAGAAGGGAAGCGGGTTTGAGGTAAGAGAAAGCAAGAGTTCATTTTGGGACATGTTAATTTTAAGCTGTCTGGTGGGCCTCCTAGGCTATTCATAGAAAATTGGACAGAAGTGAAGAGCTTTAAGAGATACACAGAGTAGATCATATCTATGGGGAAGAAGAAAAAAGTAGAATAAGATTCTTAGTTTCTGGCTTGATCACAAGGGCAGTGTTGCCGTACACGGAGGGAGAGAATCTAGAAGAACTAAGGACTCCCGGTCAAATAGGTTCCTTTCTGTGGGCTTTTATGGACTTAGCATCTCTGTATCATTTTTCTTTAGACCTAATTTATTTCTGGTTCCAAAAAAAGCAGGGATCATCAAAGTTTTTTTCCATAAAGCTCCAAAGACTAAATAGTTTTAGCTTAGCTGACCATACAGTTCCCACTGTAATTACTCAACCCTGTCTGCATAGTGTGAAAACAACCATAAAAGAAATACATAAATGACTGAATATGGCTGTGTTCCAGAGAAACTTTATTTACAGAATGCAGTGGGCTGAATTTGGTCTGCTGGCTTTTGTTTGGCTAGTCCCGCAGCACGGTAACATGAAGCTGTTTCTTCATTTTTCTGTACATAGGATTTTTGTATACTGAGAGGCAGTGGTGAGAACAGAAACTAATATTCTGCAACAGTCAAAGGTCCTAGATAAAAATGCAGAGTTGGACGCATTGGTAGTTGGGTCCTGTGACAGGCCAGCTACAGCAGAGGGATAAGGAGCAGGTCATTATTCGAGTATGGGAAATTCTGCCTTTCCTTGAGTGCTTTCCTTTGGGTAAATAATTGACCACAGTCGATCCAGGCATGCGGTCCACATTTTTTCTTGCCCTGGACTTTTTCATAGTACTATGGGAATAATTCTGAGGAAATTCTCAGTCAAATATGCATGAGTTTTCCTACAGAGGAAGACATTTCTGTGCCTGGTAGACATGTTCCTAGGCAAGTATGCATAAAGAAATATTTACAGAATAAACCAGAGACATTATATGGAATCCATATACAAATTCAAAGACAAAAAAAAAAAAAAAAACTATTTCTGAAACTGTTAGCTCAGTTTCAATTTTGGAAGAATGAGTTTTCTTAAAGTGAGCTCCATCTCTAAGGTCTAATTTGGGGGCACATTGTTTAGCATTTCCTACCCAAGAAGAATAGAATCCTTGATAGTTAACCAAATATACAGTGGTGAGGACCTTCCCAAATGTAGATGTCGCCTTTTGCATTTGTTTTGGTATGGCTTTACATTCAGGCATGGCCTCAGAGAACAGTGTCTTTGATCCTGATACCCTTTGTACTTTGTTTTTGCAGCTTTTAAACTCCATTATGCCCTATCATCCCAACAGTCCTCTTTGGGCTTTGAAGTTTTTCTCATGTTCAGTATGTGTGATCTTTGGGTCCTCAACAAACCTAAGAGCATGTCACAAGAATTTTAGTCTACATGCTTACAGTTCAAAATTACCTCACCTTCATTACCTATGCGCAGACTACCCCACTACCTTTTTTCCTTGTCTGTAGGGTTTTAAAAACAATGAAAAAGAGTTCTTTAAAAAAAAAAAAAAACTACAGAGAAATTCTATTCTACATAATTTCCTTTCTATAAAACTTACTCTTTTTTCCCCCTGCCATTTTCTACAGCCAACATGTTTTCACACGGCATATTAAGCTGTCATCATCAACATTTTGGATGTTAAGGCTCTAGACAAAAAGTAAAACATTAGCATGTCTTTTTTAAGAAAGGAAATTTATTTACTTCCAAATTAGCATGTTTAAAAGTTAATGGAAATAGCACTGGACTTGCAATCAAAATGTGTGTGTTGGGGCTGGGGATTTAGCTCAGCGGCACAGCGCCTGCCTGGCAAGCGCAATGTCGTGAGTTCGGTTCCTGGTACCAGAGAAATACAAAAAAAAAAAAAAAAAATGTGTGTGTTTAAGTCCTAGCTCCCCCACATCATCGTTGTAGGATATTGTGTCTCTTAACCTGCAGACTCTTCTCTGAGAAAGGAGCATCTTGGGGCTGGAGATATAGCTCAGTGGTAAAAGCACCTGCCTGGAAAGCACAAGGTCCCAAAAAAAAAAAAAAAAAAAAGTAAAATGAAAAAGGAGCATCTTGATGTCAGATAACATGATATTTGTGAAGATGAAATAAGCTAACATAAATAAAGATCTACAGTGTGTTATTTTCTCTGTGGAAGGCAGCCAGTAAATAAATGTCAGAATCCACACAGTTCTAAGCAGAAACTCCCAACTGAGGAGCAAAAAAACATCAGTTGCAGTTGAGGGAATGAACACTAAGATCAGAAGAATCTCAAGCCTAGGGCCGTGGTTCTCAAGCTCAATCCTTAGACCAGAAGCATCAGCATTTGGGCTCCATTTCTGACATTATGAGTTAGAAATTGTATGAGTAGGTGCTGTAATCTGCTTTAACCAAGCCCTTTGAGAGACTCTAATGCTTGCTAGTAAATCCAAAACAATATTTTTATGAAATGTTTATTATGGAATAATCTATAGGAATAATCATGTTTCATCTTTCTGTTTAAGACCACGATATATAGTATATTAAAAATTGTTATTCTTCAATTATTTTGCTATGAAATTTTGTTCTATTTTTTCATAGAAGTAAGGAGAGTGTTTTTTATATTTTCTTTATTAACATCTACTTGCATTATATTAAAATTTTAAAATGAGCACACACGAGCATGAGGGCTGGCATCGTAGCTCAGCAGTACAGCTCTTAACTAGCATGTGCACGGCCCTAAGTTTGACCCACAGCTCCACAAGTAAAAAGGAGAAGGAGGACAAGGAGGAGGAGGAAGAAGAGGAGAAGGAGAAAATGAAAAAAGGAAAAAAGAATGATTTACCTGAGACATAGTGCAAATGCAAATATTCTCTACAATCATGGATATCAGTCATGGCAGGTTGTAAAGGTAATGCAAAAGTATGTGCATGACACAGTTGTAAAAATAATGCATACCGTCACAGAAAAAATTTCAGTGGACAGAATTAAACAGGTAAAGGTGACTTCTTTCTTTCCTTTTTTTTTTTTTTT